CTGTGACGTGTTTGGCCGCGATTGGCTTCAATTGTTAATCCATATTCATGACAAATTGTAATTTGCTTCATTTCAAACAGTTCGTGGCCGTGTGAAGACGTCCACCGAGTGCTGGAGAATCTGATGACAATCCTTGTGACGAAGGAATGAAGAAACCGTAGATGTACGTCGTCAAAAGTTAATATTATTTACAGGAAAGGTAAGCAACCACAAATTCTTCCGATTTTGCTCCAAATTCAGTCTCTAAGCTGGAAGAAACGAGTTCAAAGCGCCGTTACAACTTCCACGTGGCTTCGGTGTTTCGCTTTGGGAGTTGATTTTCGCTCGCTCAGTAAGTTTCCTTTGCCTTAAAAAGAAATCAAAAGAAAGAGAGAAGTAAGTTTAAATGTGCATCTGAAGAAAAAATTTTGGAAGTAATTTTCTTTTCTTCGCCGCTAAAGGTGAACTTGAATTCTTTCCAAAGCATCCACACCTAAATGGTCTTTGGAGTAGGAGATTAGATTTGCAGAAATAAGAGAGCAATGTTAAATGCTAAACAAGAACTTTGAAACTACTTTTCTCTGTAGCTAAATTTCTGTTTTTCTATTTGATTTACAGACTGATAATTCTGGAAGGAAAGGCCGACAAGACCGGAATCCACTCGATGGATTATCAAGGATTAGAGGAGCGTCGCGAAGATAAGCCGAGTATATATTTAAAAAACGCTAAATAACCATGGGTCATCCAAATTCATTCTCAATTTGCAAAACGATCATTTCATTTTTCGTGGTATTGAGTTTTGTTTCGTTTTGTTTCAAGTTCACGGAGGTTCGAGTACATATATTTATTTTCTAGTGGTCGAGATAAGGGGGTGTTCTAAAAGGTTCGAAATACGTTCAGAAATTTGAGAGTGTTGTGGTTTGACCCAAAGTTCAATGCTGTTTTAAAGTGGCAATACAAATTGGTCCAAATTGAAAATCTAGATCAGTGCTCGCAAATAAAGGTTGAATTTTCCCTCCTAGCTTATCTCAATTCGTCGATCGGCTAACAGAGTCATCAAAATACCGGCATTTTTCTCGCCAGACTTTCTCTAGTGCTACTTTAAAATTGCATTACTGTATTTAATTTAGTTGTCGAGAACAGAACATTGGTTTATTTAATGGGGTCTAGCAAAAGTTGCCAAAGAAACTTTTCGTCTCACGTAAATATATAATCTTATTGTCTTGGAAGAGGCCAAAATTGGGCGATGCTACATATTTAAACTTTCTCTTTCCAGTATTACCACAAATAGCAAACTTTCAGAAAACGCGTTTTGTAATTGTCTTGGAAAGGACCAAAATTAGTCGAAGATTGGGTCATGAAAATATTTATAGTTTTTCTTTCCAGTATTAATCGGTTTTGAGGAAGCAGAAATGGCACATTTTCGTTTAATAGGGTCCAGCAAAATTTTACCAAAATTTTCTTTTGAAAATGTACACCCTAATTGTCTTGGAACAGTCAAAAATGGACGGGGGTAGGGTGATTTTTTTCTTTCCAGTATTAGTCTGTTTTGAGGTGACAAAAATAGCAAATTTTCAGAAAACCATGTTCTGTTCTCTTACTATTTTAAGTTTAGTACTCATAAGCAATGCCTGGTTCAACCGTTATCGAGTTTACGTGTCAAATTATCGGTGCAATATATCAGCATTTCGTTCCGAAAAAAATAAATTGAACTACACAAAACATCATTTTCGATTTCAGAGTTTTGGCTTAATCTTAAACAAGAAGGTAGCGCACTATAACACAGCAGGGCTCATCTTCCCTTTGACATCATCTGATTTGGAATTTATCAATCTTTTAAATTTGCGTTTTGTTTTCATAAATTTCATCTAAAATTAACGCGAACGTTGACAAAATTTGACTGACATTTTATTCATTAATCCAAAACTTTTGTTTTTCCTTTATAATTTTCCACGATCCAAATGTCTAGACAATTATGTGAAGCTTTGTCGACAATGTGTGAATTAATTCCTATTCAAATTTGATATTGCATGATAGAATTTCGTTCACGAAATATATCGAAGCTTATGCAAATTTGAATTTGGCGTTTTTTCCGTTGTGAAACATCCAAGCTATTGTCAGAGAAAATGGTCAATCGAAATTCAATGTTCTATTCTTCGTAAATAAACCAAGACATCTTGTGAAGTAGTCGAAGAATTGTCACTGAAGTGGAGAAATAAAAAATACAAATACAAATTGAAAGAAAGGAGCGAACGTTCTCGAGAAAAGAGTTATCTTAAAATTGCATTTTCATACATTTTACAGTGCGCCTTCTGTTTAAGATACCTGAATTTTATATTCAAATTGTATAAATTTCACAAGCAAGTTTCGGTGTTTGTTGGACAAGTTGTAAGTATGCAAATTCTGAAACTTTTGGGTTTTGTATTCAACACGCTTTCATGTGTTTTTCTCATGCTGTATAGGTGTGCTTATTCTCTTACAAATTTACTTGTTTGATGTGAAAAGTTTTGGACGATGAACCGACCTAAGAACCAGGCATTGAATATTTGAGTACGGTAAATTGTTCTACAGTGGAAGGGCAAGGAGCAAAACATCTTTTCGAATCAACCTCAACCATTTCATTTTGGTACTCGCGGACTAAATAATAGGAATTTGACTTGGCTGCTTACAATTAAATTATTTCGAGTATTTGTAGACGTTAGTACGGACCAATTCTCTAATATTTACATGAGGTAAAAACATTTTGATATGAACACAAAGGATGTTTTGCTTCTTTCACTACTCTTAGGCAACATGGCAAGCTTTGCACAGTCGAGGGTTAATACTAAATCAAAATTAAGTCTGTTTGGCAAGATTTAATTCAAAAGTACCGGATATGACATAAATTGGCGTAGCTTTAGATAATCTTTATTCTCCATCGTTGAGGTCGTAGGTTGCCATGTTGTTTAAGGGTTAGTCCATTTCGTGCAATTTGTTCCTGTCATTTTGAACGAGTTACAAGCGTTGCATGAAATACAGTCTTTGTGTGTGGAATCTGATGTCCGGAATAATTTCTGTAAAATTCCATTTCTGAAATGTAAACGGTTTGCATTCTTAAGATTACTGGCAAACGATTTTACTGGTTAAGTTTGACGGATGTAGATTTGTTGGAAAGTGTGCAGTAGTGTTTCAGTTGCCATTTGTCAAAAAATTTCTCGTGAATTTTGATTCGGGTTTTGGAAAGACAAATGAATGAAGACTGACAACACAACTGTACACTTTAAAGCAAAGCTACATCGTTCTAAATTGATTAGTAAAATCTTATGTCAGTTGTCTTGGGTTTACAGACCGTAGATATTTCAGAAATGAAATTTTGCAGAAATTATTTGACAACATATTCTCATACAAACTCTGTATTTTCTGCCATGTTTGTGCCTTGCGCAAAATGGCCGGAGAATTTGCGAACTGGTTTACTTGACATAAACTCGTACAAGAAACGCAAAATACATCGTTGAAAATTGAC